CACCCAAGGCTGCTGCTTTGTCTGCAACCCTTCCCAGGGCTTCCTGGTTGTTTTCTCTCACCACCCTCCACAAATCCACTTTTAAAATTCCCAGATGAAAATAAACAAGCCAGGTGGTGGCGGCACACACCCTTAATCCCAGCACTCTGGAGGCAGAAGCAGGCAGATCCCTGAGTTCCAGACCATCGTGGTCTACAAAGTGAGCCCCAGTTCGGCCAGGGCTACACAGAGAAACCCTATCTCAAAAAACCAAACAACAAAATTTCCCAAATAATTTTAAAGGTACCACTGTTTCTAATGCCATTAGCTTTGAGATCTCATGGCCATCATTGCCCTCCAAAATCTCTTGCCACTTCAAAGGACCCCTGTCTCCCAAAGGAACTCTTTCTACAGTGTTTCCCTGTTACCTCCTCCCACTCACCACTCCCCACCCTCACACCTCTCCAGTAGGTCATTACATCTGTTTCCTGCTGCCTCCTCCGTTCCTCTAGTCTTCTTCCTTCAAGGGGGTATTTTTCATATGAGTCCTTTGTCCTTGTACACACTTCAGTGGCTCCTTACTGTCCCGCTTTCTCTGACCTTGCTTCCTTCTGTGTGCCTGGTGACCAGTCAGTCTGGACAGGCTCCTTACTTTTTTTCCCTCTTCAGCTCATGCTTGCTCATACTTTGTCCTCCCAGTCGATGGCGGCCATTCCCCACCACAGCTTTGCAGGGATCCAGCCCTCCTACAGCTGCTTTGGGGATGCCAGCTCCATCTCAGGGCTTTGCTAACCCCTTCCTCTTCCTCAGCAAGCTCTGTGTCTTCCTTCCTAAACTCTGTGCCTTTACATTGGGTTTAGTGTGTGCTCCCATGAATGTGGATAATTCTTTCTTTCTTTCCGGTATATTACTCAAAGGCAGAAATTATACCTACCTGTGAATTTTCCAAGGTGCCTATTACCTCTGAAGAATTCTAAAGTCTCTGTTCCCCAGTTGTTTGCTAGGTAGCTCCTTTTTCATTCTAGAGTCATGTGATTGCTAGAAGAAACTTGGGTTCAGGGGCTAGACAACTTGGGTTTGTGGCTTGGCTTTGCCTTCCAGTAGCTCAGAAATTCAGGGCATTTTCTTCACTTCCTTGGGTCTTCCATAATAAGGTTTAGGTCTATTAAAAAAAAAAATAGGGGGCTGGAGAGCTGGAGAGCTGGTTAAGAGCACCGGCTGCTCTTCCAGAGGACCTGGGTTCGATTCCCAGCCCCCACATGGCAGCTCACAACGGTCTGCAACTCTAGTTCCAGAGGATTTGGCTCAGGCAAAACATCAATGCACGTAAAAATTAATAAATCTTCAACGAATAAACAAAGCTGGAGGAGCTGGCAACACTTAGGAAACTGAGGCAGGAGAACTGCAAATTCAGAGAGAACTTGCCTCAGCCAACAAGGAAACAAGCTAACAAAGCTTATTTCTTTTGATCTTGTAGTGAGTTTAAATAAGTTGTATCTAGTGTAGAATCTCTCCGGGGTGGTGGATTTTCAAGAAATAATAGTTGTGGCTGCATATAGTAATGCTTGCCTTTAATCCTACCACTTGGAGGTAGCCTCAGGGTAGAGGCAGGCTGATCTGCATAGTAAGTTCTAGGCCCACCAGGGTTACTTACATAGGGAGATTGTCTCAAAACAAAACCGCAAAAGGAACACTAGTTGTATTAGTGTATAGTTGTATTAGTTTTCTGTTCCTCTGATAAAACAGCAGCTTCTAGAAGAATGAGTTTATTTGGACTTGCAATTCTAGAGAGAGGAGTCCGTCATGGTAGGGAAGCATGCCAACAGGAGCCAGGAAGCAGAGAGGCCACCACATCTTTTACAGCAAATGTGGAGTAGAGAGAGGAAACTGAAAGCAGGCAGCGGCTATACTATACACTCTCACAGCTCACCCCGGGGCAGTGGATTTTCTCTAGCAAGGCCCCACCTTCTCAACCTCCCCAACAGCACCACCAACTGGGGACCAAGGGCTCACATGCCTGAGCCTGTGGGGACATTGCTCATTCAAACCAGCATACTGGCTACTTTCCTTTTCCTGTCCTTGTTTCAACAAGTACCCCAAGCAGTGTAAAGAGAGACAAATACCGCCTTCCGTTTTAGCTTCTCTTGTATGGATTCTTCCTTTCCTATCAAGGGATCCTCCCTGTGTTCTTGGCTGGAGATGCCTACTGAACTACCTTTACTCATTATTTGTGGCCTGAGGATCTGGCGCCCCCTAGGCATGGGGCCTGCTTGCATCTTCTGTGGAGGCTCACAAAGGTTTCCTAGTGAGAGCTGAGCTTGCTTTACCCAGCAGGGCTGCATTAGAGGATTGCTTGACCACATGTGTAGTTACCAGGTGATTGGAAGGGTAACTGCACTGGGCTGTGCTAGGGGGAGGTCTTTTGCTCCACCCTTTGGCATTCCTATAAAAGGCCCTTTAGAAGAGACAGCAGGGGCCGGTGGATAATGATCTAGGCCCTCCTGAGGCTATCCTGTGCTTGTGTTTCTTTCCTTTCTATCCTATCTAATATCTCTTAAGCCTCACTCCTCAAGAGTACCCTGTCGTAAAATGTGGGAGCTGGGCTCCCAGAATCTTCACTTATTCAACCCTGGATACTCTCAGATAGTCAAGATTTGTGGAAGACACGTAACTAAATTTCTGGTGAAGTCATCTAAAATAGATTAGAGCATTCAGTCCAGTGGTGCTGACTTCTCTTCAGCCTGAAGTGAATAGACTGTTCTAGATTTAGCTGGGTTTTTTGTTTGTGTTTGTTTTGAGACAGTGTCTTTCTGTATAGCTCTGGCTGTCCTGGAACTCACTGTGTAGACCAGGGTCGCCTTGAACTCAGAGACCTGCCTGCCTCGGCCTCCTGGGATTAAAGGCATGACCACCACACTGGGTTTATGCTGCCTTTCCTTATCTTTAGGTTTGTTTGTTTGTTAATCTACTTAGCTGCTTACCTGTCTTCTGTAATCGCAGAAGTCACAGGTATGGAGAGTTCAAGTTGACAAAGCTGGGTTCCTTACCCGCCTTTCTCATGCCTAGTCTTTTCTGTAGTGTTTCCAGCTGTGCTAAATAGGAGTACTGCGTCCAGATGTGCAAGTCAGAAGCTATCTTCCCCTGAACATCTCCTCTGGTCCTGGTCATTGTTCTACTCATTATCATGGCAATACTGATAAAATGCAGAGTCTTTCACACACACACATCTCTGCTGTCCCTGTAAGTTGAGCATCGCCCCCTCCCACCACACACACACACACACACACACACACACACACACACACACACACACACACACACACACACACCAAGCTCCCCCTTCTCTCTGTTCTCCTTGACTTCTGTCTTCATTTGAGCCCAGGTCCCCCTCGCTGTGGCTAACGGCCGCTGGCCCTTTAGTTTGGGGCTTGGCTGTTTATGTGTCCTTGGATGGCCCTCCTGCACGATTAGAAAGTAACTTGTGTTACTGTTTTGTTTAACCTCTGCTTGACACAGAGGGACACTGCTCGGGCAGGGCTCAGGTCTTTTTGTTCCCTGCTGTGACTCAGTTACCACCCAAGTCTCCCGGAGGAAAAGGAAAGTTCCCCTGCACTGATAAGATTCCCAGAAAAAAGGGTGCCCTTGGCCCTCTTTGCACTTCCTTCCAGCATCTTCCCTGTTCTCACGTGGCGCGTCATGTCCACGCCAGTGTGTCTCCTTGTGCCTTGCTTTGCTAGGGAACCAAGAGGAAAGACTGCCTTTTATCGCTTTGCTTCCCTCTGGCCTTCCTTCCTGAAGCATGTCTGGCTGGTGGCGGTTCAGCGCCCCTTCTGAACCTTCTTTCACCAGGAGAAAACGAAAGCTTATTCTGACTCAGGGTCATGACCTGACAGCGCTGAACTTGGGGTTTGTAACTGTTGGGTGCTTGTCCCTCTCCTCTGGTAGCACACAGACTACCTTCCAGTACCATGAATGCTCGTCCGTAGGGTGAAGGCTCTAGGTAGGCACCAGCTTCAAGTTTCCGTGTTCAGTGAGTTGAGTATGTGTTGTCTTCAGCTGTAGCGTGTGGAGAGCCAAGGCAACTTACAGAAGGAAGGGTTCTCCGGACTTATAGTTCAGAGGCACAAGAGTCCATCACTATCATGGCGGGAAGCATGGGGGGCAAGCTGAGAGCCCAGGCTTTAAACTCTCAAAGCCCTCCTCCAGTGACACACTTCCTCCGTCGAGGCCATGCCTAAACTTCTCAAACAGCGCCTCCAACTGGGGGCCAAGCATTCATCCCGTGAGAAGGTCTCATTCTAACCACACATGAGTGATGTCCAGCGGACACACCTGAAGACAGACGAACCACATGGCTCTGTGAGGGAAGAGTACCCCAGGCAGAGGCAAAGCCCGTGGGAAGGCTGGAGGGCCCATTCCTGCTAAGGCCTGAAGTGTTTGAGGGGCAGCATAGTTTGAGCAAAGGGAGTGAGTGAGGACCAAAGCATAGAGAGAAATCGGGAAGGAAGGAAGGGGAGCCCACACTTGGGGCCCTGTGGCCACTGTGAATGCCGTGGCGCTCTCTCTCTCTCACTGAAGCAGAACATTGCCAATTGACTACAAGGACAAAGGTGAGTGTAGGTTAGAGAGGAAGAGATGATGGGGGCCTGGACCCACATGGCCAGAGGGCAGATTTGGGGTGGGTTCTGAAGGAAGAGCTAAGAAACCGGATGTGGGATCTGTGAACAGGAGGAAAGACTAGCTGAACTCTGTTTTTGTGTCTGTATTAGACATCAGGGTACCTTTCAAGATGGTAGGTGGTTCTATGCATCTGGAGTTAGGGGCCAGGACTGTGTAGGAAATAAGGTTATGTAAGTCACGTGTGTCTATGTGGATATTTACATCTGTGTGGTTGTGTTCGGTAGGACACGCCTCTCAAGAGCTGGCTGGGGTAGATGGATGAGAAGTTTTGGAGGTACAGGAGAGGTAGCCAGCAAGCCCCAAGGAACCGAGAGCTGACACTCTCTCCCTCTGCCTCGCAGGTGTGACAATGTCCGTGTGTTTAAGCTGGGCCTCTTCTCCGGCCTCTGGTGGACCCTCGCCCTCTTCTGCTGGATCAGCGACCGAGCCTTCTGTGAGCTGCTCTCCTCCGTCCACTTTCCGTACCTGCACTGTGTGTGGTAAGCTCCTGCCCTGGGGTGGTGGCATTGACACTGGTGGCCGCACGGGCTGCTGGGCTGGGTGCTCCCTGCCAGGTGCACAGGTAGGTTCCGGGGGAGGGCCTCAGAGCCAAGCATTCTTCTTTCTCTCTCCTGTCGGACGTTTTAGAAACGACGGACAGACAGTAAGGTAAGCGTGTGAAAAAGGCTCCAGGGTGCTGGTTTAGCCAGAACAAGCTCCCCACCCCACCCCCCTCAGACCTCATTGTTATGCTGCACCGCGACTTGGCAGCCTCTCCTGCAGCTCCTTAATTAGTACCCGGGAGCCTGAAAAGTGAGTCTGCAACCTGAGCTCCAAGGTCTGGATGGATGGTGGGGGAGGGGGAGCTGGGGACCTATGTGATGTGAGGACAGGATGGTCCTCAATAGGAACCACGCCTTCAGGGCACTTGTGACCAATGAAAGCTTGGACCTCGCCGGTCATCTAGGGACAGTCTCACCTATTTTTTTTTTAACAGCGACAGACAAAGCCTAGGGGACTAAATATCTATTGTTGAACATCACTCACACTGCTTGCTGATAAGGAAATAGAGCGTCTGTATTTTGGGAAGCCTGGGAATGACTCTAAAGTTTAAAAAGAAAATGGAGGTTACCAAACCACATACAGACCCACACTCAGGAAGGGGAGGAGGCAGTGAAGGAGTCGGGAGGTGTAGTGGTAGGGTGCCTGCATGGCATGCACAAGCCCCTGGGTTCAAACTCCAGCAAACGAGGAGGAAATGGGGGTGTGGAGTGGCTTTCTTCCTAGGCACTACGTCAGCTCCAAACCCAGGACGAGGCAGTGTCTCTGTCTGTCCTCATGACGGCTGAATACAAAAGGCGGCAGGGAGCAATGCTCGTCTAATGTCCTGGTAGATGAGGAGCATCCAGGGGAGCTTCTCTAGTGCTCTATATAACTCCACATCCAGAGCCATCTTCAGAGTGTGATCTGGGAAAGGCGGCTCACACCTGCCCTCCCAGCACCTGCAAGGCCGAGGCAGGAAGTTAGCCACAAGATCCAGGTTAGTGTGGACTACATAGTGAGGGCCTTCACACACACACACACACACACACACACACACACACACACACACACACACACACACACACACGCGCGCGCGCGCAGTCTTTCTTTCCCTCTTCTCTCTAGCTACAATTGTGTATCAATGAGTCATTCTGTTTCTAGAAAATTACAATGGCACCTTTCTATATGTGATACAAACTGGCTCTGTTTTAAGCCAAAGTCCAGTCAGGATGTCCAGCTGGTGAGTGGCCCCAGGCCCACATGGATCCACATGCCACCCAGGACATCTATGACTCTGACCCAACGAGTTTGTCGATGACAATGTCCTATTGCGGTGTTAAAATGTTAGATAGCCCTGAATATAGATCATGCCCACCCTTCCCCTTTAAGACAGCAGTATCTCAGGTAGCCCAGGCTAGCTTTGATTGTATACATGAGGATGACCTTGAACTCCTGATCCTCCTACCTCTATCTCTTAAGTACCGAGATTCTAGGTGTGTACAAATGGAGTGTGTGTGTGTGTGTGTGTGTGTGTGTGTGTGTGTTGCATACATAGGAATGTGTTTGCACAATCATGTTCATGCATGTGAAAGCCACATCAGGGAGTCAGTTACTTTGAGACAGGGTCACTGAATCAGAAACTTGCCTTTTCAGCTAGGCTGGCTATCTAGCAAGCTTTTTGGATCTGTCTGTCTTGCTGTCCTTCAATGCTGGGATTGCAGGCACACACAGCCATACTCAGCTTTCTACGTGGATGCTGGGGATTTGAACTCAGGTCCTCATGATTGTAGAACGAGAGCTTTTTTCCCACTAAACCATCTCCTGAGCTCCATATTATGTCATTTCTAACTTTTCAGTTTTGTAAATAATCTGTAAAAACATCTATAATTGATTCTAATCTTATAGGTTAAATTGTAATACAAATTAGAAGATGGCAACATGCTTTTTTTTTTTTCTTTTTCTTTAAAATAAGGTCTTGGACTGGGGGTGTGATTTAGTTGGTACAGTGCTTGCCTAGCATAGACAAAGCCCTGGATTTGATCCCCAGCACTACATAAATGGAGAGTAGTGGTACAGGGTCATAATAAGTGGCAGGCTGAGGCAGGAGGATTACAAGCAAGTGAGCAGCTTGGGTTGCCAAGTGAGACCTTATTTTATCTATCTCATTATTCTTATTATCCTTTTTTTTGTGGGTGGGGGCGGGGGTGGGAGCAGGAGGAGGTTGGGTTTTGTTTTCTCAAGACAGGGTTTCTCTGTGTAGCCCTGGCTGGCCTCCAATTCACAGAGATCCACCTGCCTTTGCTTCCCGAGTGCTGGGATTAAAGGTGTGCACCACCACCGCCCGGCTTTTGTTTTGCTTTAAAACACTGGCTCACTATGTACTACCAGTTGGCCTGGAACTCTGTGCACACCAGGTTGGCTCAAATCCACAGAGAATTGCCTGTCTTTGCTTCCTGAGTGCTGGGATTAAAGTCGTGTGCTACCACGCCCAGCTATTTATTCCTCTTTGGGACAGTCTTGTGTATTCCAGGTTGGCCTCAATTTCACCATGCAGTCCCAAGTGCTGGCATTCAGGCTAGTGCCACCATATCAGACTTTGTTCTGTTTCTGTTGGCAGTGCTGGGGGTCATGGATGCTAGGAAGTCTTCCACTTTTGCCCTGAGCAGTTACATCCCAGTCCTGAGATCACTTTACTGAGGTCTCTCAGGATGCCTCAGCCCACATGCTCGCACATGCAGTAGGTTATTAACTCTTTAAAATTTTTGCTAACCTAATAGGGAAAAAAATATTTTGTTTTTATTTTTCATGTCTTTAAAGACAGTGTTACTGGATTCTTTTAAAATGTAATCTGGATGGTAGCATTAGATTGTAATCTAATTGTAAGCTGCCCAATTTGTCATGTTTCCCCTCTTGAAATATGCCTTCTAATGTTTTTGTCTTTGGTCATTACTGTCTACAATGGCTATGTGCTGTTTGTTATGCAAATTGTAATTAATTACTCATTACTTAATAATTGTTGTTTTGAGACAGGGTCTCACTGTGTAGCCCTGGCTAGCCTGGAACTTGCTTGTAGACCAGACTGATTTCAAACTCCCAGAGATCCGGCAGCCTCTGCCTCCCAAGTGCTGGGAATAAAGGCGTGCAGCACTGTACCCAGCATAATGAACAATACACGGAGCTGCCATGTATGCTGACTCCAGCTTCCGGTTATTGTTGGGGGCTGGGTCTTATTTCTACTGCCTTCTCCACTCTTCACCCAGTCCCGTTTTAAAGCACAGCTCACACAACACTTATAATGATTAACACATTTTTGGTATTAGTTTTAGCTCTTTATCATATTGGGTAAATATTTCTCCCAGTTTCCTTTTTTTTTAAAGCACATTAATAGTTTTGTGCTGCATTCATTTTGAATTATGTTGTCACGTCTGACTTTTCTTTATGGTTTCTGGACTTTGTGTCATTCTAAAGAAAGCCTCTTCCATCAAAGTTATGAAAATATAGGTCTTTTGGAATATGTATTAAAATCATAGGGCCTGGAGAGATGGCTCAGCAGTTATGAGCACTTGCTGCTCTTACAGAGGACCCGGGTTCAGTTCTAGCACTCAGGTTGAACAGTTCACAGCTACCTGTAACTCCAGTTCCAGGGGATCCTATACCCTTTGTGACCTCTGCAGGTACCCATACAGGTGTCCATACACTCACACAGGACACACACACACACACACACAAGTGAAAACAAACCATTTTTAAATTATTTCAAGCAATTAAAAAATTTAAGCAATTAAAAAATTTCACATCTGTTTGTGAATTTGTGCTTGTATGTATATGCGTGTGCACATGTGCATGCCATAGGACATGTGTAGAGGTCAGAGGACAACTTTTGGAAGCCAGCCAGCTCTTTCCTTATGCCATGTGGTTTCTGGGGATGGAACTCAGGCCCTCAGACTTGGTGGCCATCACTTCATCTACTGAGATGTCTCACGGGCTTGTATTTTAAATCTTTAATTCATTTGGAACTGGGTTTCAGTATAGGGTATAAAGAAGAATCTGTCTGCCTTTAAAAGATTTATTTCTTGATGAAGATCAAAACTGAAGCTTTGACAGGCAAAGATAATTTTTTAAAAAAGAATTTTCCCATAAAGCCGCAAGCGCACTTTAATGTAGGATGATTTCCGATGAAAAGCACAGGCTGTACTCATCGTTAGGGTGAAGGTGGGATCTAATTCAGAGATTCAGGCCCTTCTGATTTTGTCCTTGACCCTCAGTCTTACTGAAAAGGCCCTAAAGATATTTGGTCCAATTATCAAATAGGATTTTTTTTTGAGACAGGGTTTTTCTATGTAGCCCTGGTGGTCCTGTAGACCAGGCTGGCCTCGAACTCACAGAGTTCCCCCTGCCTCTGCTTCCTGAGTGCTATTACTGTGTAGCCTTGAACTTGTGGAGTCCTCTTGAGTTGGCTCCCTAGAGGTCTGAGCTACAGTGCCATTTCAGGTGGGCATGCTTTGAATTCTAGGATGGTCTCAGGTGTTGAAGATTTATCACAGCCCTCCTGGCGTTGTTGGCTGTCACCTCCTTTCCCTGGGGACAGCAGGGAAAGGTGGGTGGCTCCCGGGGAGAAGCCGGCGCCAGGCTCACCTCTGCCCTCTCTTGCAGGCACATCCTCATCTGTCTTGCCGCATACCTGGGCTGCGTGTGTTTTGCCTACTTTGATGCTGCCTCAGAGATCCCCGAGCAAGGTCCAGTTATCAGATTCTGGCCCAGCGAGAAATGGGCCTTTATTGGTGTCCCCTACGTGTCTCTCCTGTGTGCCCACAAGAAGTCGTCAGTCAAGATCACATGATGACAAGGCAGTGGCCGCCGGCGGCGGCGTCTCTACTTGTTTCTCTTCCCGCACTGGGCTTCATTGGCTGGCAAAGATAGCCATGGGGCGGGGGGTTGAAGCATTGGTGTGGGTGTGTCTGTTTAAAATTCTGTTCCTTTGGGCTCTAACTGGACCACTGTGCCTGGGGAGGAGGGATGGAAAGCTCAGGGATAGTAAGTGTGTGTTGCTCAGCATCCCATCCAGGCACATGGGCTTGCTGGGTTATGTCCCTGATGGCAGTGGCCGAGTAGTTCTTTGGGAGACCCAGGGTAGCTTCTTGCTGGAGAAGGCGGCTTGCTGTAGATCCCACCATCTCCAGGCTCTCTGATTATGCAGGAGTCAGCCCCTCTGAGACACAAGACCTTCTGATTTTGTGAGGGAAAGCACCGGAGCTTTTCCAGTTACAGGAGAGACATTGTCCTTCAACACAACCAAATGGACAGAACACACATGGGGGGGGGCTTGTGGCTAAGGGGGTGGGCTTGTCACCTGCACCTCTCAGCTTTCCCAGGTTTCCCACGGGCTCGTGGATCCTTCAACCACTACCTCTGCTAAGAGATGGAGACTTGGCCTCAGAGGGCAGTTAGTAACCCCCTCTAAGCCAAAACCTGCATCCGCTTTAAGCAAATATTAAATATTGACGCTGTTCCTGCTTTTCCTGAAGCTCGGGAGCCTCAACCCCACAGACAACTGCTCTGGTGTGAAGACTCCACATACAGCCCCTCTGCTTGCCACCACTTGACCTCTTGTGAGGGCACCAACAGCTCATTTCAGTCATGGAGGCAGTCTGGGTTTGACTGTGGAGTGTGTGTGAAGCTTTGGAAAAGTTTTTCATTGGAAACTCCCAGGATGTCCTTACCTCCAAGACTTGGACCCCATTCCTCTGCTGTTCCTAGGGAATGCGGACTCCTGGGGGATGTAGGACTCCTGGGGGAGGTGGGACTCCTGGGGGAGGTGGGACTCCTGGGGGATATGGGGCTCTTGGGGGAATGTAGGACTCCTGCTTTTGATCTCACAGTACCTGGTGCTAACTGGTTTCTCAGAGCACTGGACTGTTGGCTCTTCTGTCGCTACACTCGATGAGCTGGTTTCGGGGGGGCGGGGCCTTCTGGGTATGAGGTGGGATGGGGGAATCTCAGGGATGTTTGCAGCTCAGGCACCTCGTCCTTTCTGACATTCCATTGTGGGGAGTGGGGCAGTGCTCAGGGGTGGAGTCATGAGGCTGTTCTGAGTGGTGGAGCGTTGTCCTGAGTCAGAAGGAGCTAGCCGGTTCTGGCACTTCAGGAACTCTTACCCTGGTTAGAATTTTCACAGAGTCCATAATGGAAACTGAACTCAAGTTTTTACACCAATAGACTCCATTCTACTTCTGGGGCTTTGAAGTAACTTGCTAGGCGATTTCCTGTTTATAGTAGCAAATCTTTATGGAACATGTCTGTGTGAAGTAAGTGGTCTTTTATTAAATTTATAGCATTTATTAAATCTCCCAGGCAGCAAACACACAAGTTATTTGATTGGGGATTTTCAAGGCAGAAATATTTGGTTTTGAGTAAGTGTATATGTTATCTTACTATAGCTTAAAATATATTTAAGATGATTTTGAGTTGAATGTTCGTGGCAACCTAGGGATTCATGGGATTGCTGTTGAGTCCTTTGGTTTTTGAGTCTAGAGTTTTTCAGAGGGCAAAATCAAGCCATCCTTGTTTCTGGTTATCTTCCCAGGCATGTGGTTCGCTCTTATCTCTTCTACACTATATAAATGTCCTGAGGATAACACCCAACTGCCTGAGTCTGGAAGAGTCCCTTGGGGCTGGAGAGTTGGGTCAGCAGTTAAGAATACATGTTGCTTTCCCAGAGAACTCAGATTCGATTCCCAGCATACACATGAAGCTCAGAACCTGTAACTCTAGTTTCAGGGGATCCAATGCCCCCTTCTGATCTCCAAGGGCACCAGGCATGCATGTAGTGCACATACATGCAGGCAGACAAAACATTCATACACATAAAGTAATAAAATGGATAAAAAGTTGGCAGTAGGAGAGGATTTTTAGATGCAAGATTTGATTTGTCCCAAAGGCTCTTCCATGGCAGTGGTGTCCTCAAAGTCAGGGAAGAACCATTTTGCATCAGGAAAAGAACTTACTGCCTAGGGCCTGTGCTGACACCCCCAGGAATAGGGATAAAATATTATTGATGGATATGCTTGGACATGATTGGCTGGAAGGAAGTGAACCCCTGACTCAGTGGGCAGCTTCTCCAGGCATGTGCTACCACACCTGCTTGGGATGGAGTATGTGTGCGGGCAAACACCTTTTTTTTGCTTCTGTCTGTGACAGAGCTTTGTTCCTCTGTCCCAGGCTGGCCTCACTACTCTTATATATAGCCCAGGCTGGCCTCAACCTCATGATGAGCCCCCAGGTTAGTCTCTCAAATGCTAGGTGTGATGATAGCAGTGAGCTACCACACCCATCTCAAACAGAAATCTATAGCTTGCTAGCAAGGGACTAGACATGCATGAATCTAATTTTGAGCTGAGCTTTGGGCATTGTTCGTATTTACATTAATGTTCTACATGTTTAGAGGAGATTGGGACACTACAGAAAAGCAGCAGATGAAAGAAATTGCTCATACCTCTATTGCCTTAAAGCATTCATTGCCAGCGTTTTGGCTTTTGGGTGTGTTTCCTTCCTATCCTTTCTGCCCTGCCACAGCTATAATTAGATGTCATTTGGACCTTTTATCCTTGCATGGAATTTGAATGCCAGCGTTTTCGTGGAGAGCTGGTGTGGAGTACCCTCGACCTGGCTTTCTCTTGAATGCTGATTGCTGGATTCTGAGCTCACTCCTGGAACTATCTTTTCCATGAAGCCTGACTGGAGCAGCCCCTGAGACATGAACTGACTTCAGCTTTGTGATGTAACGCTTCACCTTTGGATCTCTGCGTCAGAGTAAACGGCTGTTAAAGATGCAACTTCATGGATTTTAATGTGTCAAGAGTGGTGAAAACAAGTTGAGTTCACTAACTGATGTGCAGTCTAGGATCCCCTCCCTTCCGGCAGGGTTGACATTGATGAGTGTGGTCATGGCCACCTACCAGCATGAGTGTCAGACTCTATTCTGTTCCAAATCTGCCCGAGATCTCAGGACATAGAAAGCCAGGAATGTTACCAAGTGATCATCTCTGTCCCTGATTGTACAGTTCTGATCCATCGTTGATTCTTAGAAGAACTCCTCTCTTTAGTGCCCCGTGATGCCAAAACCAGCCCTTCAGCAGAGCTCTTTCCATCTGTATCCATTTGTGATGTGATCTGTGGGGGCCTCTCCGGTGAAAAGTGCCTACAACAGTCATTATGGGCCAACACTGTTGTGCTGAGGGACAAAGCTGAATGGTTGTCACACATGGGCTTTGTAAAAATACTGCCACCCATTCTATTGGTTGGGTTTCTCAGGTGACTGAAACTTCCCTCACAAGTCATTTCCTCCCCATCCCCACCCTGAGCCAGCACTGGGATTTGAACCTTTCCGGCTCTTCTTCAGGTCTGGTGACTAACTATGACTGGGGTACAGGCAAGGGCTGGAGCGTGGCCAGCCAGGGCCTCTCTCCCCATTCCTTTCTCTAACTGAACTTCGATTCTTCCTAACCAGGACTTGACCTGGGTGCTGTTGATCCCACTGGCCAAAGACACACCTCCGGCCAGATTAGGATTCTCAAGTGATTTTATAGACATTTTTATCCCGCAGACTTTAAAAACATGGCCGTTACTCCAAAGGGCTTGTGTCTTTTCCTACATGTCAAGTGAGACCGAAAACTATTTTATAACCACAATATGTAATCCAAGTAAATAGAGTATTTTCAGATATATACCATGCTTTATACTTTTATGTAGGGTGTGCTGTGTACGGGTGGTATGTACCCTGGTGGAGGTAGCATTAATCATTGCTCTGAGGGAATTTATAGACCTTTTGCACTTTATGCTTTTTTGTGTGTGTGTGTGTGTGAACTCTGATAATCATGGTTAATATTAAAGCCGTTAACTGGCACTTTCTGTGAATAAATATGTATACAGATCTATTTCTGAAATGATTTTCTCTTTAAACATGTTTATCATGATTACCTGTGTGTGTTTATATGTATGTATGAGGTGTGTGTATGAATGGCGGCCCTCCCACCGTGGAGACAATCTCTCCTTCCACCTTCATGTGGGTTCCAGGACGTGAACTCGGGTTGCCAGGCTTGGGTGGTAAATACCTTTGCCTACTGAGCTGTCCTGTTAACCCATTCATTAGCTTGTTCTCCCTCCATGTCTTTTAGACAGAGCCTCACGAAGCCCAGCCTGGTCTTGAACTTACATATACAGTTAGTGATGACCCTGAAATTCTGATCCTCCCACCCCTACCTCCCAGTGGGATCGCAAGGTGGTGGTTTGAATGGGAATGGCCTCCGTAGGCTCATATGTTTGAATACTTGGTCCCCAGTTGGTGGAACTGCTTGGGAAGGATTAGGAGGTGTGGCCTTGGTGGAGGTGTGTCACTGTGAGCAGGCTTAAGGTTTCAAAAGAATCACCTGCCATCCCCAGGGCACACTCTCTGCCTCCTGCGTGTGGATCAAGACGTGAGCTCTCAGCAGCCACTCTGTCTTTGCCCCGTCATCATGGATTATAACTCTCTGAAATTGTAGGCCCAATGGAATGCTTTCTTTGATAAGTTGCCTTGATCATGGTGTTTTATCTCAGCAATAGAAAAGTAACTAAGATAGCCACCATGCCTGGATCTTCAAAATCATTTCTGAGGATGAACTTTTCCCTTCCTCCTTCCCTCAAGCCAGTGTCTCATATTGTAGCCTAGGCTGGCCTGGAGCACTCTGTAGCCCAGGCTGACCTCAAACTCGTGACAATCATTATGCCTCAGGCTCCCGAATGCTTGGGTTTCAGGCAGGAGTCACCACCCTGAGTGAGTGTGCAGCTCATGGATTGCAGAACACAGTGTGTTTGCCTGAGTCTATTGGTGAGAGGTCTGGGCACCTGTGACCACACGTGCTCAAAGAAGTATCCGGTTCATTGCTGACTTCTCCTGAGCTGTGAAACCAGCATACCCGAATGTCCTAAGCACAGACTGCAGATCAGCAGTGTGTATTGATGAGGAGTTCTGCGATATGCCATGTGCCATCTTACACAGAGGGCGGCTCACCGGTACTACATTTCAGGCAGTCACCGGAGGCAACATTGTGTGACATTTCCAAACAGTGACTTGGGTGGCAGCATCTGCATCTACCTACTTACTGTTACAACATGCTGTGGCAGTCATTTCAGTGTAAGGATTCATTGGTCATCAAGGTTAGATAAGATGGGCACCAGAGAGGATGGATTACTAAAAGTCCTTGGGGTGGGCTCCTTAGACTTTTCTCTAGTTAACAGGAAGAGACATTTGTAGCCCTGGAGCCTTGCGGTGTCTGATGAAGCTGGGTCTTCTCTCTAGGGCAATGTCCCTGCCTGTGATTTTCTGGGGAGTGATGTCCCTAGGAACCACTCCCCTTGATAAAGAACCCCCTCTGTGGCAAAACTAAGCAAGGATCTGACTCCTTTCTGGTTCTGAGATTGGTCCCTTGATCCTGAAAACAGGGTCCCAGTCTCTCTTGACTGGGTAGTGGGGACAGAGGCTGGGTGGGGGGAACAGAAGCTGGGGAAGGGGGCTATGTGTTTAGGAAACAGTGTAGAGTGCACCCCAGGATATCGTTACAGTCTGTATGAGTCTGGCTGGAGGAGACAAATTCTACAGGTTTCCCTGTCCTCTGTTTCAAAAGACCGGAGTTGGAGTCTGACTCCTCTCCTTAAGGCGGACATGTTAAGTGGTGCTAGGGGGTGTAACCCAGGGCCTTGTATGCGCTGGGGGTGTGACCCAGGGCCTTGTATGTGCTAGGCAAGCACTCTGTCCCAGAGCTACATCCTCAGCCCCTGACTTCCTTTCTAGGGACATTTCATGACTTTCGACCTCAGTTGGGGATGGTCTTGCATGCATATAATCCTACTGTCTGAGAGGCATGGGCAGGAGGATTGCTGCAAGTTCAGGCTAGCCAGGGCTACATAGTGAGATCTTTTCTGGAAGAAAAAAAGATCCAAGAGAAGAAGAAAAAGAAAGAAAAGGATTAAAACCCACAGATATGCATTATGGTAAGGTGCCAATATGAGGGGCTGGGGAGAGGGCCCAGTGGGCAAAGGCACCTGCTGCCAAGGCTACTGACCAGAGTTCAATCCCCGGGTCCACATGGTAAAAAAAGACTCCTGCAGGGTGTCCTCTGGCCTCCTCATGCACACCACCACCACCACCACCACCACCACCACCACCACCACCCCCCCAAACAAATAAAATGGAATTTAAAAAAGACTCTAACAGACCAAGTATTGCAAACAAAGTGAGATCAGTATGCCAGGGAGGCCCCTGTGCTCCTAACTCCATTGCAGCACTATTCACAACTGCCACGATAAAGAGTCGACCATTGATTGTGTTCTCTGATGGGTGAATACATAAAGACTATGTGGTACAGAAACGGAGGAGGATATTATTCAGCCATATGAAAGAATGAAACCTTGCCACTTACGGCAGTTGATGGAGCTGGAGGACATTAGGTTAAGTGAAAAAAGCCAGGCACATAAATAAGTTCCTGGGTGAAGAAGAAGAAGAAGAAGAAGAGGAGGAGGAGGAGGAGGAGGA